TTTTTATTCTGAGTTTGAATGTGTATGCGATTTTTTTTATCACGCTCTCTTTGAATGACTGCATGTAAAAAGATAAACATCTAGCTAAAATATACACATGTATGTATGTGTGAATGCATTATTTTTGCTTTTAAAACTGCTCAGCGGCAGTTAAAAAAAATCAAAAAATGTTTTTGTGAAATGTTTAAAAGGTAGACACTCTTCATATGTACATTAGGGCGGTTCATTTTTTTTATTTTTTTTTTACTATGCGTCTATAGCCTAAGAGGACTCTACGTGTAATTCTAAGCAAATTTGCCGAAGAAACCGTGTTTCTGAAATAAATTTGGAGTTTGGCAATTTGGGGAAACAGGTTTCGAAAAAAAAGTGAAAATGTTCACTGTTGCGCCCTTTGGTTGAAGTCTTAAAATTTAAGCTATTATTTACGGCACTACAGAAAAATGCTTAGAAACCCATTTTCGGAATTTGGCATTCTTCAAATTTATTTTAGACCCATGGTCTCGTCGACAAAGTTTCTTAGAACGCACGTAGCGTCCTTCGGTGCTATACGCGCACAGTCGGAAAGTCTCCCATACAAATTTATTCGCCCTAATGTATGTACCCTAGGGTGACCCTTAAACCCCACTTTACACCAAATTTCCTAAGCCTCAACCCCTACGTCGATGCTACTATAGTCGAAGATATGACATATAAATTTTGGCCCCGATTGGAGACGGTTAAGGCGTGTCTTACAGGGGGGCAAAGTTCAGATTCCTCTATGGAGACTCAAAAAATTTAAGTTACTATTTTTCATCTAATACCCAAAATCGACACTACTGTAGTCGAAGATATCACATATAAATTTTTGGCCCCGATTGGAGTCGGTTAAGGCGTGGCGCTCATTTAATTTTTTAGGGACCACTCTAATGTACATATACACGTATAAACTTATATATACATACATACATATGTGGTATCCCAATAAACATTCGTCTGAGTTAACAATTCGAAAACGATTGGAAAACCTATATTTTTTTCGAGTCTTACCTTCGATAACGAATGTGAAATAGGTTAGTATTCGATGCGAGAACTAGGTCATTCTCCAGCAAAACGAAACGAACGTTATCCAATGTATTTTTCTTTCGTTATGAATTCGAAATCTTGCCCATTATCGAATTGGAATTTTAACGAGAGAGAGTGATTTTCTCATATTTCCCTTCGAGAATGAGCTGGATTTCATGTTCTGTATTGTTTCTATGGTTTCCATTTTTTTTCGAAAACTAAGGTTGTTTATGAGTTGGTTCTCAGTTCGAAATTCATATTGGATTTTGAAGGTTATTTTCGAACGTTCGCCAAAATGTTTATTGGGATGTATATTTAGCGTACCCGTTAACTTTTCGCTCTTATCGTATTTTTATCTTATCTCATTTGCGTACTGATAATTGACTTATAGATGTATGTATGTATAACTAAGTTCAGCTGAACCGAGATACACCTAAATATTTTTATTTTTGTCAATCAAGGCATATTTAATAAGGTAGAACTGACAACCAGCTCAAACTCTCACGTAGCTAGTCATAATGCCAAAAAAACTGTAAACAAACAAATTAACCCTTTGAGGTGCGAGTGCTATGTTTGCTACAACTTAGCATCAATTATCTTCGTAGAATTTTAATTGCTGTATACATATATAGACATATGTATATATATGGATAGAACGAATACCTCATAAAGGAAACCACGTGAATAAAATGAAAGAAATTTTTTATGAAACTGTTTTAAACATTTCTTTGTATTTATTCTCCCAATGTTTTTGCGCCTTTAGTTTCTTATTTAAATAAAATTCTAAAAAACATCCGGCACTTATAAAATTTATGATTTAATGTTTTCTTGTAAATTTATATGAAGACTTTATTCTAAAAATTTCTTGATAAAAATTTTGCAATGAGAGATCTTTTTCCCGTTTAAGTTGTTAAAAATTGCTGGTATCATGTATGGACCCTTTTACTCAGTTTGCGTCTGCCCATCAACAGTTGATATTGTCACTTCTGAACTTTCGTGTGCTTCAGACATTTCAGGCACAAGAACCTCCCAGGGCATGGGAACTGTATTCGGGTATAAACGCATGCGCGTACAAATATTTGCCTGCAATGGTCTAGTAATGGAATCATTCGCGTTGAAATGATTTTCACACACACGGGAAGAATCTTCCAATTGAAAACCGCAGCTGTTCTCCTAACGAAGTCTTCTAACTTCAAAACTGGGCGGCTTAAAGTATCGCACCACTTTAACGTCTTGGATATGGCCACACACAATGCAAAGCTCGTAGATCCTGCTCCTTTTCATTTTTGTATATGTATTTATAAATGGATGTGGTCCAAAAACAAAAATATTCACACAATTCAGAAACCAATCAAATATATGTATGTATGTATGTATGTATGATGAAAGATAACTACAAACACTAACACAATAGCTTCAATCTTCAAAAATCTGGAGTGTGGAGAGACGGCATCGTAGCAGCGGCGATTCTGGATATACAAACGAAAATAGGTTGTGTTTCCCCAAGCGAATCATAAAATTTGATCTATTTAATTAATCCCACCGAAAAATTTGGCTCATGCCAGTATCATTCGTGAGCTACAACGCGATACCCTTAAAATAAATTGGAATTGGAATTGGACATGGGGGTCGATGGATTAGAAATCCTTACCTTAAACCAGTGGTCGGCAGGCCATAGCTCACTGAACGCTCTCTGAGCACATGTGTGTTTCACACGTGTACGAAGAGCGGAAGCTGAGCAGTGCATTTAACGCACACCTTCTCACTTATTGAATCGTTTGAATGTGTTAGAATGCCGACCACTGCCTTAACCCTAGAACACACACCCGGGTACAGATGTATCCACTTTCAACTTTGAAGTGTTGTAACTTTTGAACCGCTATACCTCTATACCGCTTCGGATCTAGGAAGATTATTTAGTTTTGAGTTCAAATTCAAAATTTGAACCAGATCGGACCATTGGTTCAGGAGCTACAGCCTTCCAAACACATTATATACGTAAACACACACCCGGGATACGTTTGTACCCCAATAGTAAAAATCCTCATAATAATAAAAAAAAAAAATTTTTTATATTATTTTTTTATTTGAAAAATTAAAAATATTCATTTCACACATTATATTATTGACTTTTATTATAAAAATTATAAAAATGCATCTTATATCTAAGGAAAATCATGGCAAATAGAGCAATTTGTTGATGTGACCGAATGTTCAAGACACATTGGCTTCTTACATTTGTCGCACAGCTTTCTGGTTTTTCTACGGCGTTTTTCCTCTTGTGCGTAACATAAATAGCAAGATCCGGACATAGGTTTTGGCGTGCGCGCTGCGGCAGATGTTGATGCTGCTGTTGACACCATTGATTCCACCGGTCGGTTGAAATATGCTTCAATAGCAATTTTAGTCGAAAAATTTCGCGTCACTTGACGATTTATGGCTCTGGCTTCAATAATGGGCATACACAATGCTTCAGCCAAGCTGCGCAGGATCTGCTTACGCTTGTTGTTTGTTCTCCAAGGCAACATAGGGTTATTCAAATCGTAGACAATGTAGGCTGCAAGAGCTGTAATGTCCAACATGTTGAAGAATATCGCTAGTGGCCATCGTTTTGTTTGTCTTTGTGTTGGATATTCCGCAAACATTTGGTCCATTCGATCAACACCACCTTTGGTACGATTATAATATTCAATTATTTCAGGTTTCCCACTGTCAGCTATTTCAGCATCATTATGCATGGTCGAAAGCAAAATTACTGCTTTATTTTTTTGGGAACATAAGAGCACATTGTCACATTATTTTTGAAGCCAAATGTCGTTGAACCAATTGTCCTGTTTTTGTTCTGCTTCATTTCTTGAGGAATATATGATTTGTTTTTGCGCAAAGTTCCAACGGTCGTGAGTTTCCAGATGAGAAGCAGTTCTGCAACTGGCAAGGTCGTAAACAAATTGTCCATTGTAATGTTTCGGCCACTTCCTTGGTATTTGGCAGACAAATCCTTCACCACTCGTTCGCCTTGGTTCGTTTCCCTACCAGTTTCTGCTTGGCCAGTATATATTTGTCCATGCAGTGGATATGCATTTGTGGCATCGCAAATCCACCAAACCTTGATACCTTATTTAGCAGGTTTTGACGGTATGTACTGCGTAAACCGTGTGCGTCCACGGTAAGGAAATAATTGTTCATCAATCGTCAAGCATGAGCTGGGCTTGTAATGTGCAGCAAGATTATTGTTCATCATCGTCCACAACTCACTGATCGGTGCTGCTTTATCAGTTAGTAAGCGTGTTGCACGAGTGTTTTTATCGTCAAATCTTAGGAACCGCAATATCGAACAGAAACGGTTGACTCCCATTGTGGCGCGATATAAAGGATAGTTTTTGACGCTCCATAAATCTCGAACATGTTCTCCATTGCTATGGTTCGCACCAGTCATAATAAGTATGCCAAAAAATCCATACAGCTCTGTTATTGACACAGGCGTCCATGACTTAGGAGTTGTGTTTGGATGCGCATTGTTGTAAGCATTATAAGTTTCTTTTGCTAACTTATTTGTGTGGCGCATAATTATATCAGCCATTTCAACGTTCATGAAACATTTGAATGTTTGCTCTATTGACAACATTTCAGTGCATCTAGCTGGTCCAGAACGTTCTCTTATAATATTTTGTCTGAGTACCTGACGACTTACATTTGGTTCTTTCATCCACTCAGTACCATCACGTGCAACAAATTTTTCGGCACTAGCAGGTAATTCATTATTTTCTTCTACTTCTTCTTCTTCATCGTCTTCTTCATCATCCTCATAGTCCGCATAATCAGGTAATACTTCTGCGGCACTTTGCGAAACTTCAGCATCGTCATCAGCAATTTCAATGTCATTGATTTGAATTTCTTCTTCATCTTCTGAGTCAAAGTCATAGGGAGCGTCATCGTCACAAATTTCATCAAATAAAGATTGTATATATGATTCTCGCTGTTCCTCAGTTAAGAGCGAAATACACCACACAAGCGGTTTGACAAACCAAGCGAAATTTCCCTTTGCTTCAAGCCATTTGTGCTGTGTATGGGGGTGTTTGAAGGTTTGACAAACCGCTTGAGGGAAATTTGAGCAAAAATCAAAATTTTTTGATTTTCTGGCCGCCATGTTGATGTTTGATCAAACCGCTTGCGTTGTGTATAGCAAAATCGCCTCATTCGCAACGAAATTTTCACCGAGTAAGGACGTAAGAGAGGAAAATGAAAGAAAACCACAATATTTAGCATTGCGAACTGGAAGAAAACTAAAATTCTTTGCTTGAACGAGTCATGTTTGCATGGTGTATGGCGAAATGGGAAAAGTAGGTTTGAAGAATGTTTGACAAGCCGCTTGTGTGGTGTATTTCGCTCTTTAGCCTGCATAATAAAAAAAATTAGTATATGTTTACATTGTTGCTTATTTTACATTTTTTACCTTCTATATGCTGCACTTGATAAATATTCGTTTCTTCTTGAAGTCATTTCGTATCCAGTTATTTATAGTTTCAGTTATATTTATTTTCACTTATATTTTCACTTCTTACACTTTTGAGCACCAAAACAATAATGAAAATATCAACAGGCAGCATTTATAACAACACCTCGTGTGAAAACAACCCTTGCAGCTGCATATAAAATAAAAAAACCAGTTATACCAGTGTATTTGCTACCTACGTACCCATACCTTGGGCGACCTTTTTGCACATATCTTTTGAACCAGGTAGTATATTTCAATGAAATAAAAACCAAAATGTATATTCGTTGTTACTCTACAAGTATATTATTATAAATTATATTATTTTGTTTTGCATTTATCAGGACAACAACAAAAACAAAAATCCACTGTTGCATGTCCTGACTTTATTTGCCCATATCGCTGGAACCAGTAGGAATATTCGAATGAAACAAAAGACAAAATACTTGTTATATATTAAAATATACATTTCAAAAAAAAAAATCATAGAAATCGGTTGAATAAGCATTAAAAAAACCGCAAAATAAGGTCCCGGGTACAAACGTATCCCGGGTGTGTGTTTACGTGGTATTTTCTGGGTGTGTGTTCTAGGGTTAAACCATTCTAATAACACGGGTATTGCGTTCGACAGCCTTCCTTCCTCGATACAGCGATAGGCAACCAAATCCACGGCGGGAATAAAATCATTAGCCGCCAGCACCTGGGAAAAATTTTGACAGACGATTTTTGCCAGCCACAAAAGCTATCGGCCGGTCTGTATAATATGTATTCTTAAATAGTACGTACATACATACTTATGCATATCTATGTGAGCTGCAGCTAATCTCTTCACAATAATCCCTTTCTAATCTAATGATTTAAAAGAAAGAATCTTCCGTATAAAGTTTCACTATCTGCAATAAATCGAAACAATGGGGGGATTCACAACGGTGTCGTAAGTGTCGTATTGTTGTATGTCGTAATATTTAAAAGCATAAATAAATGTTTAGAGAACTTGAAACTACAACCAACTATTTTTTAACACTGCGAAAATTCAAGATATGCCTTTGATGGTACTTTGCGAACCACTTAATATATTTTTTAGGCCTTTAAAATTTACGACATAGAACAATACGACACTTACGACACCGTTGTGAATACCACAAACCGCGTATCGTCGTTCTGCAAAACCGCGTAATTGACAAAAATTGGATTTCCTCACACAAGCTCTTGACTCAACTCTTATCCATTCGTCCTGAAATATACTAGCCAGAAATTGCGATTGCTTTATAAAAAAGGGAACCAGTTTGAAATATGAGTGTTTTACTCTCCACAAAATAATTTATGCAACCTCACATACGCGGTTTTCGATTATCTTGATACGCGGTTCTGCATTTTGTTGATACGTGGTTTTGTATTTTAAACGACGATATGTATTTTACAAGCTTTTATTAATGGCGGTTTCATTTCTACCAAAAAATTTCGCCTTATAATTGCCCTCTTCGGACAAACACTAAAAAGAGGGCACTACCGTGCGGAGATCTATATAGAAACTTGAAACTTCGTAGAACCCGATGACAATTAATCCGCTAGGTTGCGTAGGTTTCGAGATATTTGAAAAGGAATAACTCCACAAAAATATTGGTCGATAGGTGATGCAGGAGTCGGGATATTTGGAAAATCCGTATTTATGGTACGATTTGTTTCATATTTAGAACCTAGGAATATTAATGCAATGGAAAAAATTACTCCAAACAAAATTTAGCCGCTAGCTGGTGCGGGAGTCGATTTTTCTTCCTTTTATTTACCAATTTTAAATTCTTGTCTTAAAATTTTTTTTTTAAGTTATTTTTTAGTTATTATTTACTAAATTGTAGCACTTTCTGATGAAAATTAGAAACCTTACACATTCACTGTGGTGGTTTTCGCTTGGGATATCATTCACTAGAAGTTATTCACGTAAAAGTAAATTCGGTCAACTGATCAGCTTCCTCGATCAATGCTATCACATCCTTAGCTAGTTCAGGTGTTGCTGCAGCTATACAATCGGGTTTTAATACTGAAAATTCGCCACCTTTTGTATGGCACACATAGCCACCAGCTTCGCGTATTATTAAGGCACCACCAGCAATGTCCCATGCTTGCAAATCCTCTACGAAAAAGCAATCAATGCTGCCACGCGCCACATAGCAAAGGGATACAGCGGCGCTGCCTAACCCGCGGCAACTGAAATAATGCGTAAGAGAGAGAATATGTAAGTTTTTTTTGGGGATTTAGCTCAAATAAAAATTATTATCTATTCATCATAACTAACCCACTGCAATTCGATGCTACCTTACACAGGCGTTTAACATTTTTATCTCGCACAGGTGCCGGCAGAATAAGTGACATTTCTGCCCCTATAACAGCGCTTTTGATCTGCAAAGAAAATAATGAAAAGTCAAGTATAAAATATAAATTTTTTATTACTTTTATCTCTTAACTATCATAAAACTATAAAAATTAAAATGAATTAAAAAATCTCAACAACTCTGCATCTACTCACATTAGTACACTTGCTAACACTGATAGGCTGCCCATTAAGATAAGCGCCATGTCCCATCCACGCCGAGTACATTTCATTTACCGCTGGTAAATACACTACACCCACCACTAATTCCTTGCGTATAGTCAAACCGACTGAAATACACCAATTAGGAAAACGGTGTATAAAATTTGTTGTTCCGTCTATGGGATCAATTATCCATGTGGGTGCATCTGTCAGCTCTGGCTTCTTCTTCTTCTCCGCCATATCTTCCTCACCAATGAATTTTGATTCGGGAAAGGCTTTTTGCAACTCCGTGATGAGTAGATCCTCCAATTTTTTATCATATTCTGTTACCAAATCAAAGTAGGCTGCTTTTGTGTCAAAGACAGCTTCGGTTTTCTCATAACCTTCCATTGCTACTGGACGACATTTCATTACCAATTCCAATGCGACATTATAGTATTTGCGTATTGTCTGGGCGTCAGTTTTTCCAGACATTTTGATTTGTTGTTATGGTTTTATGTTAATGTATAAGCGAGAAAACGCTTTGCACAAAGCTTACTGTCTGGTGTTTATTTTGGTTCCTCTACGCTTTTTAGCACGTCTTTTTACATCAATGCATCACCTGCTACTGGCAACTGTTGAGCGTACACTTTTTATAGTTTGCTGCTAAGTGGAAAGAGAGAGGAGAGAAAAAGTTTGTGCCGATATACTTAGTGCTTTGAGCGTATTAAACTCTTGTACAAATAAAATTTTGCTAGTCACATCATTAGCTTTTGCTGCTCAGATGAGATTTTTTCCGGACAAACGGGATTTCATCTATAATTAAGCATTGAAAGGTGGGGAAAAGAGATGAAATCAACTGCATAAGTGTTAAACCGCAATATGGTTTAGGGCTGGATGGTAAAAAATAAAAAAGGAAGAAGTTATATAAGCAACTAGTGACCCGCATGGCTTTCAAACGCCAAAATTGAATTTAACTTTTTAAACAGGTGAAACCCTATTAAAAACATCAAAAATGTTCCTAATGATTCATCTAAACCATTTCTGAGTGATGAGAAGTCTCGCATGGTGTGGGTTTTCGCTTAATCAAATTTCAAATCTCGCTGTATCGCTAAAAAGTTCTAGCTTCAAAAAATAAAACGTTATTGCACATTGCATATTGCGAATTCGAAATAACGTTGCCGAATTTCAAAAAAATAGATGGCAACCATAATTAAAAGTATATTATCAGCCTATAGTTTTCTTAAAACTCTTTCGTTTGACACTAATATTTCGATATTGCATTTATGTACTTGTATATAAGGAAAACAAATTCGACTTTTCAAACAGTTGGCAACCCCTTTAAAAGTATTTTTAAACGAAAATCTTTTTATCGTCTGTCATTGTTATACATATGTATTTCAATTAACTGAAGAATTAATTTGAATTTGGTTTTTTAAGCGGCAACCCTCTTAAAAATTATTTTCGAACCAAAATTCCTTAAATATTTTTCGTATGACATTTTCACAAATATTTCAAGTAACTGATGAATTAAGTTAAAATTATTTTTTAAACGCGTGGCATTTCTATTGATAACCATCGTTTAGTACCTCATTTAATTTATTAAATAATTGAGGGTTGCCCTGAAACACATCAAAAATATTCTAAATTGTAAAACTGATTATTTCTTAAAACTTTTTCATTTGAAATCCAGTTTTAATATTTCATGTAACTTGGGCATAAAATAAAATAATTTAATTCGACTTTTCAAATATGTAGCAACCCAAAGCCTTCAAAATATTTCCGAAGATAGTAGTTTGGAAACCTCTTTTGTCTGACACCCATATAGTGTTAACTTATTAACTTACGAAACTCCTTTAATTAAAATTGAATTAAATTTTTTGAACATGTGGCAACCCTCCTACAAGTAGTTAAGATATAAAGCCTTTTCGAAACCATTTGGGTTGATATTGTAACAATTGATTTAACTTTTTAAATAATCTGTGCCAAATTTCTTAACTGGTGGCAACTCTTTTCCTTATTGAACCTTATTGAACCTCCGCACCTGAATCCCTTTCATTTGACCCCTCACTTTTTAAAATCGAACGGTTGGTGCGGATTTGAAGGCATTTATTATTAAACAACTTGAGTGTAATTATTTACCAGGTGGCAACTCTTTTCGAAAAAGTAAAACCTTATTGCATTTAAAGAAAACATAATGAACAATTTTTATTGAGCTTCATTTGTGATTAGGCCAAATAAATAGGAAAAAAAACAAATATTCAAAGAAAAGTAATGTACAAATACATGAAAACCCTAAATAAAAACAATAAAAAAATTTAAAAATAAAAAATAGTAAAAAATTCTGAAGAAAAAGCAAAAAAATAAGAAACTAAAAACAAAGAAAAGTGAGAAAACATTAACAAAAGAAAAAAGAAAAATAAAAATAAAAACACGTTTCCACGACAGTAGGGTCTACGTAACCGGAACGACCCAGATTTATATCTGGCCAAGGACTGTCACTCAAGCAACATTCCCCATAAATTGTTTGGGGAATTTTGCTGCTACAAAACAAACTAAAAATCGAAAATTAAAAACTAAAAACAATAAAATGAAAAAGATTACAGAAAATAAGAAAAAAACGCAAATAAAAACCCAACAAAGACAAACAAAATGAAGCAAAAAATTTAAATTAAAAATAGAAGAAATCAAAACAATATGTATTAGGCAAAAAATAAATGAACATAAAAAACAAAATGATAAAAATTACAAAAAATCAGTAAAAAATACTAATAACAAAAATTTCCAACGCATTTTTGTTACTTGCTTTACTTTTAGTTTAGTTTAGTTTAGTTTAGTTTTATAAATTTTAATAGAATAGAATATTAAAAAATAAATGAACAAATAAAAAAATAAATAAATTAGCAATAAAAAAGTAAATTTATATTTAAGTAAAGGAGAAAAATGAAAAAAATTTGCGAAACTGCACCAGTCGCAGGGGTGTTCAGTTTCAAGGAAATTAAACTATGCACTTCATACTTTTGCTTTGAATCCAACTACTTTTTGCAATTGAATCGCTGTTGATGTTGTTGTCGAAGCAAAGGGAGAGGGGTTTTAGCTGAGTAGGGTTTAAGGGGGCTAGTAAAGAGGTGGTTGTTGTCGTGTGGGGTGCCTTCACAAGCTGGACATAAGACCCGTTTGGTCGCCGGTGAGTAGCAGGACACAGAGGACGAAGATACAGACATGCCAGAATACGGCGCTGCGGACCGCAACTTTATGCCTTCTCAGTCGCCACAGCAACACCTTCACGTCCAGGCTCAAATACCCCACTCCCGACCTTTGAATGTCGTTTTGGAAACACAACCACCCCACGTAGATGAGGCAGAGTTTTGTCTGCCTAGGCCATAGGAAGACTCGCACCACCTTAGTCCAACTTCGCTCTGGATACTGCAGCAGGCTAAAGTCGTACCTGAGCAGAATAAACGCAGATGTGCCCAACGGGTGCCTGGCATGCGGAGAGTCACCTCATGGCACGCGGCACCTCTGCGCGTCGCATGCCCCCAAAACCCCACTCAACTAACGCCTCTGTCCTTACGGACCAACCCAGTTGCAGTTGCTCACTTCCTGGTTCTCCTGGATTAGTTGAACTTGACGACAACGATTGGGGGACAACCCGATCTAGGCAGAGTTGAGTAGCCGCTACAACAACAACCATATATATGTAAATTGGTATGTTGTTAAGTAGGAGCTTAGACTGCTATATTATTTAGAGTTATGCGGGTCTCTGAAGCGTCTGAAGTTCTTCGTTTGCGATGGGTGGTAGTTAAACTCCGCTGACGGCATTCGCGGGATTAGAGTTGGTCAAGATGGTGATTGTCGGCTGCTGTGGTTATGCGATGCATACAGGTATGGATTTCGTCCGCGAGTTCGTGCTTAGCAAGTGGCTCTGAGGGGGCAGCATTGAGGTTTCGCGATATAGGCGGTGTTCAGGCGATTTAAGAAGGCACCCCGTTTAGAATTGAGGACCTCGTTGTGGCTCTATACTTGATTGACAATTGCGCTGTGCCGTTGCAGCTTGACCTTCGTCCAGCCGGTGAAAAGGGTCGCCGTTAACTCTGAAGGGAAGAGCGTTAGGCTTCGTACAGTGAAAAAGATTATTGCTACAGGCCGATGCAAGCGATCAAATCAATTTTATATGGAGAATTAGTATTTCGGCGCATAACTGGAGAGCCATTAGTTGGTACCAATACTTTGATGATATCTGAAACGACGACGTGATGTTTTATAAAATTGTTTCCATCAACCTAAGACGAATTGCAAAGTACGTCAACGTAAACTTCTTTGCTTATATTCTATTGCGGCCTTTTCTACATTTTCCTTTCGGCGATCTCTACACGTACATATATATTTATGTATCTCGGCCAATCTGGTTAAAGAAAAGCTTAAGAAGAAATTTCGCGGACTACATTTAATAAATTTTCTTATTTGTCTTATAATTTTTAATTAGTATAAAATTTAAAGCATTAAGTACATTAATACGAGTAACCTTTATGATTTCTATTTACTCCTCTTCTCCCCCCACCGACTTCACTTGATCGGCTTTCTTTATTATCTCTTCCAATTCCTTGCGCAAACGCTCTGTGCCAGCGCATATTAAATCTGGTTTCATAATATCAAACGGTCCTCCATAGGGATGCGTTACAACGCCACCAGCTTCACGTATAAGCAAATAGCCGGCAGCACAATCCCATGGATACATGTCTTCAATATGAAAGGCATCCAAATTTCCGGCAGCCACCATGCACAAGGAATCCACCACACATGCATAGGCGAGTAATCTGTGAATGGGAAATTTGAAAGATGTAAAAATTAAATGCTGAGTATATTATTGAGAAGAGTTGAATATGAACTTGATAAGAGCGTGCATTTTAAGTGTTTTGCAATACGATTTCCCATGAGATTGTTATAGCTCTTAGCTTCTTAGCTTTTGCCTTTTGTATGAATTTATTGTTTTGCTGTTTGTATTTAGTTTAGATTTTTCGCTTTACTATTTTTCTTATATATTTTTTTTGTATTTGTACGTCTAATTGCATTCAACGCTGGACGTATTCTTTCAATGCACTAGAATATGCAGAACATACAAAGTTTAATTTATGCATAAAATCAACAATTGTAAATTGCAAGCATGCACTTTTTTTTGTTGTGTGCGAATTTTTATTAGGGACTGGTTATCGTAAATAAAGGGTAAAGTCTGGTACGGGTGGTATAAAATCATAAAAACAGGACAGCGTTACAGACGATTTTTGTAGACTGTAGAACGGAGGTCTACTCGTGTCAGCTGAAAAAAACCAATTTCTTTTTGTTTGGGGTTAAGCGATTTTGGCCAAGTTCAATAAAGCACGCCTATCTTTTCACCTCTGCGCCAACTGACACCAATTGGAAATGTCAAGTGAAGCCAAGTCCTTCGTCACAATCGCAGTGGAGGCCTCCCTCTTCTTTTGCTAGCACCAGCGTCTTCCGAGTTGAATACTTTCAGGGCTGGAGCACCTGTGTTCATTCGGACGACATGGACAAGTCAGCAGACTCGTTGGCAAGGGTGTTTCGGCGTTGGATATCGATGCTGATATTTTTATCGGTGTTAATGTGACATGGGGGACGGGGCGCGAATGCTGTGACTGATTGTTTGATTACTGAAAATAATTCGTATTGTCTTATCATGTCCAACATCGGATTAAAAAAAATCACATGACAAGGAGTCGACCGGCTCGGAGAGGTCTTTCTGAATTCTCACGGAACTGGTGATATTGCTCAGCATCAGTTTGCACAGCCGTATAAGTTTTGCAGGGATAAAAAATTCAGACATCGCGGCGTTTTGGCCACTTCTTTTAGTGATGCCGGAAGCGGCTTTGAAGTCGACAAATAGATGGTGAGTCTCGATTCTTTTCTCGCGGGTCTTTTCCAAGATTTGACGTAAAGCGAATACCTAATCTATGGTGGATTTACTAGGTTTAAAGCCACACTGATAAGGCCCAATAAGTTATTTGGCGGTGGGCTTCAGTTTTTCACGCAATATGCTCAATAAGACCTTGTAACCTATGTTTAGAAGGCTGATGCAGCGGTGGTTGGCGCGTATGGCGGGGTCGCCTTTCTTGTGGATTGGGCCGAGCACGCTAAAATTCGAGTCGTCGGGCATAAGTTCATCTGACCATAGTATGCATATGAGTTGCTGCATGAACCTTAACAACTCCTCGTCGCCGTACTTGAATAGCTCAGCTGGTAGGCCGTTAGCTCCAGCAGCTTTGTTGTTTTTCAGCCGCGTAATTGTTATTCGTATCTCGTCATAGTCAGGCGGTGGAACATGCCATTCCATAATTTAAATACGTCCGGGACATTGGACGCCACGGTTCTTACAGAAGTTGGAACCTGCCGTAAGTCGCCTAATTCGTGTCGGCCAGCATTTCAAGATCTTCGCACTCACGTATTTCGCTCACCCTTCTTATTGCAGCAAATACGTCTCGTTTCCCTCTTCAGCTCCCAGCGTGACTCTGTAGGCGATATCTTTTTTCTCTGCAGCTTCGTGAGATTCCATAGGGGCGGCTGCGTATTTTGGCTCAACAAGATAGTGGTCCGAGTCGATATTTGCAAAGCATGATTTTTATATAGTGACGGGTACAGGGCTCGTATGAGTTTTCCAAGCGCTCATAAAGGAGATCCTTGGTACCTTCGTCCTTCTCTTCCTTTGGGGCGTTGGCACAGATGAACGAGATATTGAAAAATCTCGCTTCGATGCGAATTGCTCGGTAAACAAATACCATTCGTTGAACAGGCGTCCTACCTACTATTGACATGGCAGCTTCGGGCTAACGTTCGCATTGAATTGTAATATAAAATCTAAGCTTAGTAAGGTTCTAATTTTGACACACTTTTGTGCTTGTGAATGTAACATTCGGTAACTTGAATTCACGGCTTGGCACCCCATAGCCGAAATGCCTCATCGTTTAATGCCGAACCCTTTGAAGCCGTTGCTCTCTTTCAAAGTTCGTAAGCATTAAATATGTAGGAAGAGCAAATTTGCTTTCCATTTAGTACTATTTATGCATCTCCATAAAAGAATCAGACATGGTAATTACCTCATCAACAGATTGCCGAAAAGGTCTCTGTACGCGTTAAGCTTGGTCAATAAATATAAGCTGTCTCCCAGTTGCATGAAAGGTAAGATTATGGCTTTAAATACTGAAATGAGAGTTTATCTCTGTCGTATTTTAAATGTACCCGTAGGAAATAGCAGCCTTACCAGCAACGTACACCTCACCCGGCGGTCCTTACCACTTCCCTGCCGAATCTCCATTACTTTAATAAAGGTGTAGCCGCCTTATGGAAGTAGGAATTTAGAATGTAAATTTGGTATCAGAAATACTTCTGAGCCGCTTTACCAAGTAATGTAAGGCGTCATCGGAGGTGTTCATTTTGTGCTTTCCTATTCGACGACATTAGTCATTGATGACAATTTTAGTACTTAAAGCTGAGAGAAAACATGGAATACCACGTAAGGTGCTTACCTATTTTCCCAGTGGGGTATTACGTAAACACACACATATATACATAAATAAACTTAATTACACCTAGCGGAGATTGCAAAATATGTAGTAAATATTTTAGTAGATAATCGCTGCGCTTATAACTGTCGCGCGTTAAGTAATTAAACCCAAATGCGGCTGGTAACTACATAAATATTTATGTAGACTAAACAACTTTGTATCGCATAAAAGTCTGTAATCTTACCTTCTTGCTTGCATCCCTATGTGATAGATTCGCTTTATATGTTTATTACGTATTTTATGTGCATGCAACAGCGACACTTCGTACGCCACATTCGCTTCGTTCATCTGTAAAGTTTATTAAAATTTATTAGGTACTACATAAATACATTCAATGCGCTTCGTTCTAATTACACAACAATATGTAGCTGCTGCCCTATCCGCACCCCCTACTACACTCACTCACTCACATTATCTACACTGCTCACTTGTATGCGCTTGCCATTGCAAAAGGCGCCACCACCCAGTTTCGTTGTGTAGATTTTCTTTTGCACCGGATTGTTTATTATGCCCAAAACGATCTGCTTATTTACCGCCAAACCAATTGAGATGCAGACATGCGGTATCTGTTTGATGAAATTCGATGTGCCATCGATGGGATCAATAATCCAAGTTGGTGCATCGGTAAGCTCTTTTGTCACATGATTATTCTTCGCTGTATCCTCTTCGCCGATGAATTTGTGTTCGGGATAACGGGCCAATATTTGTTCAATTAGAAATTCTTCGATCTTGTTGTCATACTCGGTGACTACGTCATAGAATGCTGTCTTTATGTTGACCTGCTTTCCGGCCTCCTCATAGCCCTCGAGTAGAATTTCACCCGCGCTCAGTGCAAGCGGATACATGAAGTCATATAATTCGTCGATCAGCTGAGAGGTAGCCATTTTTTGCGGCAGTGATTATACTTTTGATTGCTATTTTTAAACTAATTTGTATTACACGTTTTTTTGTTTTTTTTTTCCTTTAAGTGCAGTGAATGTGTGTCTGCACTTTTGAATTGTTGTTTTTTCGTTCGAAGCTACCTTTTCGAAAAAAATACGTTAACCAGCTTCACTGTTCACAAATCAACTGAATGTTGTGTTTATCAAATACGAACTCTTATGTTATGGGAAGAATGCCGACTCTGTCTCCACCGGTTTTGCCGCTGCTGTTATACATATGTACATATGTATGCACATACATGCAATGCGTGCATGTATCTCATTATTCTGTATTTTTTGTAGTGTTTCACCAATTAAGTAATATTTTTTTTCAAATTCTAATTACTTTTTGTTTTCAGTAATAAAAATATGCATGCTACTCAGTAACAAGTACAGGGTGATCTAATACAGTTAGCATCAAAATATGCATACCCCGGCGTTTTGACAATTTTATTTATTTATATTTTCCATACCAAATTTTTCTTATTTTTTATAAGTATATATGTTTATTTTTTAACAGCAAAAACCATAAGAATATTTTTTTTTTTTAAATTTCATACAGGACTCTTTTCCTAAGTTCTGCATGAAATTAAAAAAAAAATTAATTCTTGTAGTTTTGCTGCTGAATGAACTATATTTTTTTATAAAAAATTAAGAAAAATTTTGTATGGAAAATATAAATAAATAAAATCTTCAAAACGTCAGAGTATGCATATTTTTCACGCTGACTGTATATGCAAAAGAAGAATAACATTAACGGTTTTTATCAGGGACCGTAACGGTTATAACTTTTAACGATTATTTTTTGAGTTTTATTTATTTTTTTTTCAAAAATAATCATTATTTTTAGAGTTTTACTTTTTGATGAGAAAATATTAGTTATATTTTTAGTTTTATATTTTGCTTGGTACATGAATTTTTTTTTTAAGTTTAAATTTTTGCCTAGCAATTAAAATAGAATTTTATTTTTTTTTTTGCTTAGAGGGCAAAAGTAGCTTCTTTTGTTTTCCTTAAGTCGGGAAAATGAACTAAAAAATCGTGAAAAAATCAATAAAAAAAAAATACGAAGACGAAGGTAAAAACGATTAAGACGGCGACAAAAACCCATATGGCGACGAAGACAGATACGAACACGAAGACGATCACGAAGCGGAAAATGAAAACGAATTCGAATACGAATTGGAAAACGAAAACGAGTAAGAGGACCATTTAAAAGCTGAAGACTAGGATAAGTGTGAAGGAGACGACGAAGACTTATGAGAAAACAAATAGGAACCCGAAGACGAATAATAATACGAACACGAAGGCATATGCGAACACGAAGTTGACGACTGCCGAACAACGTTTGATGGATTTCACCGACCTAAACGGGGTTATATCGCCGAAACAGTAGCTCTTGGTCGGATCAAACCCGATCCATTCCGGTACGTAGAACCGGTTGTCGTGGGAATGCAGCAGGTTAAACTCATACCTGAGTAGAATAAACGACGATGTGCCCAACCAGTGCCCGGCATGCAGAGAGTCGCCACATGACTCACGCACCTCTTCGTATGCCCCCTAAACCCCACCCAGCTCACGCTCCTGTCCCTATGGACAGCCCCTATCGAAGTTGCACACTTCCTGGGCCTCCCCGTAGCTGAACCGGACGACAACGCAGATGGATGAGCCGACTCGAGCGGGGTTTAGTTAGCCTTACTATTACCATTACTATTAGCATTAGCATTACATATACCAATATCTTTACCACTTTCCTTCTTCTTATTTAGCATAACAACCATTTGTCGGTTTGGGACGAGACCTCACAGGTTCGGCGAATTCCTCCTTCCTGTGCGGATATGCCCCAACTGTTCTTCCCAAGTGCGGACAGGTCCTTCTGCACTTAGTCTCTCCATTGTGTTAGTGTGTGCCCTTGATTTCTCTGTCGACTAATGGGCACCGAGTTGAAGGATCTTTTCACTGGAGCGTCGTTATCCATGCGTATAAACATGGCCAAATCAGCGCATGTTGCATCAGCATACAAATTCTTTAAAGAGTTTTGGGTGAGTGTTACTGGAGTGAAAGTCCTTGGCCAGATATAAATCTGGGTCGTTCCGGTTACGTAGACTCAACTGTCGTAGGAACGAACGCAATCGTTCCATTTTTATGCGCTTACTGGACCGTAGTAGCACTTTCTCATCTTTATTATACATACATTGCCCACGATTCTGCGCCATATAAAATAAAAGACTTCTGGGTGAGATTTTTTGTTCGTCGATGGAGGGCTCGGCTTTTCACAGTAGCACCTGTTGCCTCACTATTCTGGCTGAAATGGCTTTCAGTGTAGGTGGCAATATTAACTCTTTTTTGTAACTTCGAGACCATGTTTAGGGTTTCAATTCCTATTAAACACCGATTGTTCTTGTAACAGACGTTCTCTGTTGTCCTCTTCATACTCTGGTTCGCCAAGCATGATGTCGAAGTGTTTGGTGCTGAGAGGACCTTGCCCTCATCCTGAACAGTTGCTTTCCTTTTTTGTGTACCTGGTCTCTCGCCAGTTCTGCTTTCTCAGTGCTGATAAGCGCCGGTCAATGTTAAGACTCATCCTGATAGCATCGCTGTGTCCGTATTTGTATTGTGTCTCATTGAACTGGAGGTATACGTACGACTCAATGTCCATTGTGCGGTGGTGACGGTGTCGCCTTAGTTATCGGTGACCGGATTGCTTCAAATAAAATGGATGTTGGGCTAGTGGCCACCATGATATTCCACGATAAACCGGTTCGATTCCAGAATGAAAATGTTGTATTCTTTCACATACAGTATCTGGCTTTCTTCGTGGAAGATGATCGGACGACATGATGTAGCAGTCCATAGCCGTACGTGAAACTACATTCTCGTATGTTTGGAGATATCTCTACTGCGCGTCACTTGTTCCTGTTAACCAAACTGGCGGTGCATAGTTTACCTCTAACCAGCTGGTCGCCTTGCAACGTTCCTAGTCCCAGACGCCTGCTCCTGGCACGTAGTTTGATGCAAGTGGCGGAGATATACATACGTTGATAAGGAGAAAAGGTTATATTCTACGACCGTTGGACCGTGGACCGTTCACAGTCGTTATTTTTGAGGCACCCCTCGTATTTTGAAACTAAGTCCTAGCAGAAATATTGAGGGTTGTGGCACTAAAGCAATAAGAAAGATCGGAGAGATAGTTATTTTACTGCAAAGGCTGTCGATGCTTGGATCCATCGCAATGTTTGTGAAATCGTCTGCATAGCCCTCTTAGTTGACTCCGGTTGGCGCCAAAGAGAGCTCGGCCAGTAGAGTTTAAACAGCTTCAGGGAAGCCTACGCGCTTCTGAATTCAACTAACGGTTGACGACCACACAAATAGCTGGTTGTTCAGCATTTCATCCGATCTGGAAGCGACGACTCTAGGATAACTTGGCAATGGGTCGCATGGTTAACCACATCAAATACATTCGATATGTTAACCGCGACTACAACCATCCTATCGCAAGATCGACATTGGTTAAGACCCACAAATGGCTGTGTGGCATTGGCGTTCAACATTGTGCATCTTCCGGAATCCGTGCTGGTTTTCGGCTAATTTTAGACGCTTAATCAGCTCAGAAAGAAGTGCTTCCGTAGGTTATTTATTACGGCTGGGGTATATAGTAATGATACTAAATTTAGCTGATTTCATAACGCCTCCGGGCATTCACGTGGCTCGCCAAAATCAAGGTACTTCGCATAAGATTAGCTGCCTTCCCGATATGACTGTCTAATTTGTTGGCTGCAGAAACCAGCACATGTACTTTTCTTCATCTTATATTTAGCGCCATTGGAGTAACAAGGAAAAGATTGCGTGAATTATATACATATTAACACGCCGAGAATGATAAAAGTATTCAATACGTTAAACGAAGTATAACATTTAGTCAAGGGTGATAGAAACGAAAATTTCGTAAAAAAAAACATCTGAATTCGGTATTTAACGGATTTAATAGAAGAGATGTAGTGCCTGGAAGTAGAAATCGCATCGGAAAAATCGCTATTTAGCTTAATCGAACTAATACTTATAAAACAATAGATTTCTCCTCAGAAGCATGAGCCTACACTGAGAAGAGTTTATTTTAACACGTCAACTAAATATATTTCTCAAGATATTTTAACACCAAACAATATCACTGATGGAACTTAGGTACTCCAGAAATAAACTGGTAAAACCTATCGCTCCTCGGACTACAATTCCAAAGGTAATTTCGTAGCACCCTTTATTGACTGAAAGTATACAGTGAACTTTTTCTGCTACTGTACATCTTTTATCGATCTTCTTATCAGTCAGTTGATGTTGACGGTTGCTTCTTCATTTTTACCATTTATGCCAACAAAAGTCAGTAGCAAAGACGTAATAGGAGAGCGACTAAATGGAATATCTTTTTTTCGTGGGTGCAGTTTTCAATAAAAAATAATGACTTGTTTTAGAATGAGGGAAGATTATATTGATAACAATTTTTACGATTTTATGTGCCATTCACAATGAGCAGCCAAAAATTTTTTTGATTCTTTAGTTTTTTTAGGAAAATATTAAAAATATTTTCAACACATTTAGTAACTTCTTTACTCTATGTATTTTGATGCTTTGTAAAAATAAGCAAACCCTAAATTATTTTGTATCGCAACACTTCCTAACTTTTAACTCTTTTTCCAATCCAAATTTAGGGTCCACCGGCTCCCGGTCAGGGCCCACCACCTGGCGATCGTCCCGTACAGGAAAGTCTTACTGCACTCCAACGCGCCATTGACACCATGGAGGAAAAGGGCTTGCAGGAAGATCCCCGCTACTCGCAGTTACTGGCCATACGCGCCACCTCAAAACATCAACATCTCACTGGCAATCAAGTAAACATGTTGCGCGCTCAAATTACCGCATATCGACTGTTGGCGCGCAACAAACCAATCTCCATGCAAATGCAACAGCAATTGGCACCGCCACAGCAGCAGCAACAACAGCAGCAGGCTGGCGTACCGCCAGGTCCCCCTGGACCGCCAGGCCAACATCCGTCAGTGCCAGTGCAGCAGCAACAACCTGGACTAAGTGGCGCACCTCCACCAGGTACCGCTGGCAGTGTAGGCACACCACCGCAGTGCCCAACACCGCCGGCCAGTCCTTACGTTCAGCAACAGGTGCCGGGCGGACCTAAGCTACAAGCACCACCTCTACCACATGTGCAGCAGCCACCCATGGCGCCAGGCGGTGCTCCACCGATGCCGCTACAACAAGACGTGTCGCATCAGTTGCCCAATGGCGCCGGCGGCAAACCCAATGCCGGTCCGCCTGCAACAATGATGGCCGGCGGACAACCGCCCATTTCGACACCAATGCCAGCTACAATGGCACAAGGCGTGCGCCCGGGCATGCCGCCGGGTCCTCCCGGTATGCCGCCACAGGCACCGCCCGGCATGCAAGCACCAAAGCAAGGTGCA